ATGAATCCTAGAAAATATGATGAATATGAATCCTAGGAATGATCCTTCGAGAACTTGGGAACCAGTTGGAAAATGCATCCACCTTTTCCTCGATTTTATTTGAAAACTACGACTGATTCTTTTGGATGCTCTTTGCAATGCATGTCGGAGAGGTTGAGATAGAGGGTCAGCGGTCACTCAGCGGCCACTCACCTATTGCCATTTTCGGTAGTTCCGAAATTTTCAGCGAAATGTTTTGCGTCTTCGTCATGTTATCGAAGGCGCATCCCACGATGAGTTAGTTGATTACTCATTGGAAGTAAAGGTACAGGATAAACAGAAACCTAAGGAACGGCCCAAAACCCTTGAAATGGCCTCACTTTTCCCGATAATCTCCGCGTTAGTGCGATACTCATTGGTGCTGGCGTCATTAGCGTGAACGTTCTCCTCTGTCTCTATTCTAAAACGGCTAGAGTCTGACGAGGAGTGGAGAGACGGAAGGTGGGCTAGGTGAGCCGCAAGTGCCGCGGGTGAGGCCATGGTAAATCGCTCCGAGGCCACTTTTGCAAGGGGTTACGCATCCCCGCGCCTATAGGAGCCCGGCCTCCCTTTCTAGTAGGTCTGTGTCGGTTATTCAACCTCCAGTTATAGTGGAATCCTCCTTTGATTATCTATCATCTATTTGGAACACATTCAGATGATGTATTTCGCAAACTCAAATGCGCAGTTCTTCAACGAGACAGATCTACGGAAAGCTATCGACAAATATGACGTCAGCATGTCGATAAAGCCAGCCGTAGAGAGAAAGAAGCGATGGGATATATGGGGAGGACTCTATTATGCTGGAACCATCTACACAACAATCGGTAAGCCTTTCCTGATTCATAAATGACAATTGTGACGATCTTTGAGTGGATTTCTGTTTGACGCAATGAATGCAAGGTCCAACCAGTATGCATGGTAGATTTCTTAGCCATTTACATGGTCCGGTATGATGGTCGCTCTAAGGGGAACTGAAGTCGGCATAGTAGTGGGTGGCATAAGAACTATTTTTGCAATGCATAACTCTCGATTTAAAGGTAGGGTATACGGTGAAATGTTAACTCGCTATAAAACCAAGGTAGAAGTGGCTAGTGATGCACGGAATGAAGGAAAACCGAGAAAAATGCGCTCGGACCCGAGAAATAGGACTCCTTGCTTGTTGATTTGCGGGCTAGGCGCGTCTCATTGGTGCTGATCTCATCAACGCTAAGCAGTTCATTGGTGTGATTGCTCATCACCCGCTAAGAGTTGTGTCAGAGTCCGCAGATCGACGCGTCCGGATCACAAAATTACAATGGCGCGGGCAACAGTGCGAGTGTGTCTCAATCCCGCCGCATTTTTGATGGTGGTGGTAGTTGCAATGCGACTGTTCCTAATGACTTGTTTAATTTTCAGTGATGTTCAAATGAGCACTATGGAATTTAGCGGACTCGCGCGAATCGCGGACAGCTGCACGGGACTTGACGCAGCCCACCGTGTTTTCTGCTGAGCGGTTGGAGTTACGCGGGGAGGGGTGGGTGAGCAGCCGCGTCCTTTCAGCAGCGCCATCGTTGCAGCCGGCAGCGCCGAAGATAGGGTTTGCGGATAAGGCGTTTCTTGCGATTTAGGAGAGCTTACAAGGACTTGGTTGCGCACTCTCATGACGCTAAAGCAGCACGACATCGACGCGTGCTGTCATGGTCTGCTGTGTCGGTTTACGGGATCGGTGGAGTCTACCTGCCCGATACGTGCCTAATTCGACCCAGTCCATGCGCACGATATCAGCGCCATCCCACTGCCCCTCGATTTCATGAAGAACTCGTGCATATTCAAGGCTAACATGCTTGACGTTGATTAAAGCTTAAGACGCGTTAGCACCGTGGAGAATTTTAATTCGAATGTAAATTCTTTTTATGGAGTGAATTCAACCCAGACGATTCTTGACGCAGAGCTTCGTCGAACACGATGGCTTTTCATAGTTCTATGAGAGAGCATACAGCTCTTTTCTATAAGCCTTGCCCTTGCTTACCTCAACGGTAGCTTGAGCAGCTGACCGCTTCTTAATTGCGATCGAATTACAAAACAATGAAGATTACACAGCGGTCGAGTTCAACTGGCGTGATATATGAGAACATTGGATGTCATGGTCGTCAACAATTGACAGCTCAATTAGCAAAGGAATGAGAAATGTGAGAACAAACACCTTGAGGTGTAGTGGAGAACAAGCCGACCTTGAACTGATGCATCTCCAGACGCTTTAAATCACTTGGATTTGGAGTCCGCTTAGTGGAACGCTAGTGGACAACACACTGTTCATTCGCATTACGGTGAAAAATGATGGGAAAAACCTTGACAAATTACACACCACATGGTGTTGAGAGCTGTACACAAATTTTTCTAGCTCGAGGGGAGATGTTTGTTATTGAAGATGAAATAATGAAAAGATGACTGGAGTGAATATGCTGATGGTCGAAAATATAAAGAAAGCCTATTGGTAAGGGCATCAAAGCGAAGGAGGTGTGGCATTGGCGCCGCACACACATGGGCACGTCCCTGTGTCAAAGATCCGGTCCCCCGATCCAGCATTCCAAATAGATCAAATCTCATGTGGCATGCCTTTCTTCGGGACCGCCAGTGCTAAGATTGTTTCGCGATCTTTTCAACATGTCTTTTACAGCGGAGGATAAATCTTTCGGGACGTTAACAGTATGAACATAACGGTAGTGCACGGAGCGCGTGGGTCTATGGCGATAACTTCGTATAATTAGGCTAGGAAATATTACCTAACATCCGAAAATTCAGTTTCTGATTCCATGCGTATGCTTCGTGCCCGTCTAGGAGTGGCGTTATCCCTAGCGCTATCCGCCCATTGACTTCTAAATACTGACTGACGAATACTGAACACATTTCTGTTCGAGTACACAACTTCAATTGGGCCTACAGGAATCTCCTAATTTGCATTGTCGACATCTCTGCTTTTTATAAATTTAGTCCTGGAGAATCATCTCTTTATCTCGACCTGCTGCCTAGCTGATTCACTTAATTAATGTTCAGTGTTCCCTAACTCTACTGATGCTCAAATGTGAATTATTATAGCACTTAAAGGCGTGCAATAAATAAATAAATAATTAAACGTTGCGTTATGAACAAAACGTTATTTAATAAATGTTCATGACAATTCGTTTGCGTCTGGGCGAAAGTTTCGTTCACGAGCCGGCTAGCATTCTTGGCGAAATTTCCCGACTCAGAACGCAGCAAGAAAAAAAAAACCAGCAGTTAATAAAAACCTGTGCCTACTGTTCAGTATAGATTCAACAGAAAAATTTTTCGCAAGGTATTTTCCATATGTCTTATAAAGATAGACTTTACCAACTCAAAGAGAACTCCCTAGAAATGAGGAGGAAACTATCCGATTACGACTTTGTTTAAAAGCTTTCCGCTGGACAGGTAGATTTGAACTTTGATACATTGTTCAAAAAATCAACAACAATTGGCCGTACTAGAGGGCATAGTTATAGTGCCCAAGAGAGAAAACTAACTCTGCTGAATTTCGAAATTCATCCACACAAAGGATTGTTACTTTTTGGAGCGACTTACCACTATATGTTATGCACAGGCAGAGAAGCAATTCATTTGTTTTTAGCTAGGTACCTGCATTTGTGATGATCTGATGATTTCAATGCTTTATTTATACGTTTATTTTTTACATTTTCATTTCTTCGTGTGTGTTGAAAAATTCCCCGTTCGGAGGTTGGATTTCGGCAGGATGACTGTCCTACTGAGTTGGTTTGCTATACCCTGTGAGAAAAGTGCTTAAATTTTTTAGGTTATGGCGATCTGGCTGCTGTAACGTTTTGGGGTCGTGTGTTCACGATGGTGTACGCGATATTCGGCATTCCGATGGTGATCACAATTCTTAACGACTGGGGCACAATCATGTTCAAGACCGCAAACAGTGAGTTCGACCCTCCCTCTTCCACAATTCAACGCGCATCGAGCGTCATCAATTGGTTTCAGAGATATGGAAGAAGGTGCCATCGTGCACGTCAATGATTCAGCCTCTGAAGCAGTTTCTCCACTCAAAACAACGCCAAGGATCAAAAGAGGTTGGTTCTCTTGACAGAGTGAACCTAATTATTCAGGCGGAGTTCACGATGAAAACACGGCTCACTAGAAATAGAAGAAGCAGCTTGTTCCATTGTTTCCTCGGAGTACAATCGAGGATCTGCCCCATAATCTTAGGGAGAAATTAAATTTCTCAACACTGAGAGATTCGCGCTTTCCAATGGTTTTTACTCAACTCGAAAGGTTCAGTCTTATTCTTAGCCGAGATACGTGCAATTAA